TCTCTCCATGGGACCTTGCCTATTATTTCTCTGAGTTGGCTGAAATCCACCTTTCTGAAGTCCAGTGTCCTTGGTTTGCTGGTCCTCCTTTCCTTAGGATCTTGAATTCTATCAGATCATGATCATTTCTTCCCAAGTTCCTGACCACCTTCAGGTTCGCAACTAATTCATCCCTGTTGGTCAAAACCAGATCCAAAAGGGATGACCCCCTAGTTGTTTCCTCAACTTTCTGAATCAGAAAGCTGTCCCCTACACACGCCAAGAAGTTGCAGGACACACTATGTTTCGCTGTATTAGTCTTCCAGTAGATATCAGGGAAGTTAAAATCCCCCATCAGTACTGACTCACGTGTTAGCTAATCCTGTTACCTGCTTGGAAAATGCCTCATCCACTTCCTCTTCCTGATTTGGTGAGCTATAATAGACCCCCCACCATAACATTGCTATTGTTCTTTTCCCTTTTTATCCTCACCCACATACCCTCAATTAGTTAGTTAGTACAGTGGTTCTCAACCAGGGGTATGTGACCCCCCTGGGGGTATGCAGAGGTCTTCCAGGGGGTACATCAACTCATCTAGATATTTACCTAGTTTTACAACAGGCTACATAAAAAGTACTAGCGAAGTCAGTACAAACAAATTTCATACCGACAATGACTTGTTTATACTGCTCTATATACTATACACTGCAATGTAAGTACAATATTTCCAGTAGATTTATTTTATAATTATATGGTAAAAATGAGAAAGGAAGCAATTTTTCAGTATCAGTGGGCTATGATCCTTTTGTATTTTTATGTCTGATTCTGTAAGCACGTCATTTTTAAGTAAAGGGAAACTTGGGGTATGCAAGTCAAATCAGACTCCTGCAAGGGGTACAGTAGTCTGAGAGCCAGTACATTAGTATATATCACCTATGCATATAGCTAGCTAAACACTCATACAGTCCCCTGCACTCCCATAGACTGTGTATAGACCCAACATCCCTATACATATACAGCTCCTTGCAGTTCTGCAGCACCTTCACATGCTCGCATCTGGCAACCTGCTACTGAACAGGAAAGGAGACTGCTGGCAGAGGAGGCAATCCCCCAATAGAGCATGTAGCCCCCCATCCTGGAGAAATGATCAATAATGACTCCTGCATATGCACATAGCATAGCCCACACATTGGTAGCACAGACACCATGGCCTATGGAGCCTACTGATGCACTGGGGACATCTGGTACATTTCTACAGCACATATAGCCACAAGCCCCTGGCACCCCTCCACAGCACCCACAGTCACATACACAGGCATCTCCTACGCCTCTATGACACATACTAAGGGCAAGAGGCAAGGGCAAGAGATCTCTCTTCCCGTGTGAGTGCATGCATAGAAGTGCTCCAGCAAGGCACATCACCCTGCGTGTCTCTATTCCTATAGCTCCTATACACCTACCCACCTGAGATGCAGCAGTGTCTCCTATTTCTATAGCCCAGTGGCTCTCAGTGAGGGGTCTGGGGCCAGATGGGGGGCCGAGAGCAGGTTTCAGGGGCTCTGCCAAGCAGGGCCAGCGTTAAGTCTCGCTGGGGCCCAGGACAGAAAGCCAAAGCCCCACTGCATGGGTCTGAAGCCCGGGGTCCTGAGCCCTGCCACACGGGGCTGAAGGGGAAACCTGAGCAATGTAGCTTTGCAGGGCCCCTTGTGGCATGGGGCTCTGGGCAACTGCCCCACTTGCGACCCCCTAACGCTGGCCCTGGCTTGTATACAGGGCTGGCGCAACCCATTAGGCGACCTAGGCGGTCGCCTAGGGCACTACAATTTGGGGGGCAGCGACCGCAGCGGTATTTCAGAGGCGGGACCTTCCGCCGCCTCTGTGGGGGGCGGCATTTTGGGGCGGGACCTTCCGCCGCCTAGGGCGGCAGAAAAGCTGATGGCGCTCCTGCTTGTATATGCAGAAAACCAGTTGTTGTGGCATAGGTGGGCTGTGGAGTTTTTACAGATTGTTGGGGGGGAGAGGGGCTCAGAAAGAGAAAGGTTGAGAACCCCGGCTCAGCAGATACTCACATTCATGAGTTCCCATTTCCTTTAAAAAGCTGAGGGGGAGGTTTCTGAAAAAGAGCTAGTGTGCCGTATTCGCCAGGGGCTGCTTTGCTCTCTATGGTCCTTACCTGGCCCCCAAAACCTAGTACCTGAGCACCAGTTTAAAAAAATTATTTATCCTCCCAATACCCCCAAGTGACAGGAGAGCACCATTCATGTGGGAAACTGAGGCACAGAGCCGTTAAGCTCTGGTTTATACTAGAGGAGTTACACTGGTATCATGTCACCTAGGGGGCGCGATTTTTTTACCTATATATTTATGCTGCTATAAACGCTACCATGGATGCAGCCATACCCCAAGAAGCTCCAACCCAGCACAGGCCGGTTAACTTCCCACACCTAACCTAGCTCCGCATTTATTTCTCCTGCGGCCTCCCCCCATTAGTCCCCCCCCCGCCCCGCCCCGCCATTGTCCCATTCCCAGGGGCACTCGCTCTCCCATAGCTGAATCAGTTCTTACCTGCAGGCTCCGGCTCAGGGGCTGGTGTCGGCAGAGCCCCGGGCCTGTCCCAGGGGCTGGTTCCAGCCCCCGCAGAAAGTGCTCCCGGCTGGGCACGGGGGGGGCGGTTAATGCAGGTCTCTCCCAGCACAGACCCCGCTGGGGAGCAGCAGCGGCTCAGCCCGGGCTCCCGGCTCACAATGGAGGCAGCAACAACTTTAAACAGCTCGGGTTAGGAGCAACTGCAATGCAGGAGCCGCAGTCTCTCATCCCTGTTATTACAATTATTCATTATTATGATTATTTGCAAAGCAGACGCACCTAGGAGCCCATATCTCTGCCTCCCCCCTGCCAACACCAGATACAGCCCACCGCTCTCAGCTGATCCAGCCCCTTCCTGTGCCCCTCGATACCAACCCGGGCTGCAGCCCTCCCTGGGTCTGGGACAGGCTGCAAGCAATGCCCAGAGCACTTGTCTGCAGAGATTAGGGGTTCCCTGGAGGAAAGTGGCGTGTGAAAAGGACTACAGCCGCCCCCCCTGCTCACCCCCACAGGCTGCAGAACAATCAGATCCTCCCAAAAGGCGGCGGGGGGGAAATGTGCAGGGATCCGAGCATGCTCAGTAACATCTGCTGAAGCCTCCTGCCCTCCGAATCTGCTCCCTGCTATACAGTACATGGGAGCTAAAGGGGGAGGAGAGGGATGCGCAGAATTTGTGCACGGGGCAAGACATGCCCAGAGGAGGATGAAATAGGTGGAGGGAGGCAGCGCTTAATTGTGCCAGGGCTTGCCGGGCTGAACTCCGGCACCTCTAGGCTTGGCAGTTCCTAGCCCTGGCACTTCTGGGCTGGGCAGTTTCTAGTCCTGGCACCTCTGGGCTTGCAGGTTTCAGCCTTGCCTCTTCGCCGCCCCCCACCGCCACACTCCCTGTGTTTGTCCCCCTTAACAATAGCCCCCATGACTCCATGTAAGTCCCTGCACTGTTCCTGCATCCTCTGCCCAGCTTCTCATCAGAGGGGCCCACTCCACAGTGCACCCCTCTGTGAGGAGGGTTGGGGAGGGAGAGCCTGTCTGTGTTGGACAGGCAGAGAGACAGGAAGCCCCTGATTTAACAACACGCATGAGCTGCCACCTGCTCACTTTACAAATAAATGAACAGAAAGATTGCACCAGGTCAGTTCAGACAGGGGTGGCAATAGACCCCACTGGTGAATTCCGGCCCCACTGAAATTGATGGTTTTTTTCAAACAGGCTTCAAGGGAGCCAGGATTTTACTCCAGATCACCAATCTGCTAGAGCTAGATTTTAGCCACTCGGCCAGGCTGCCTTTCAGATTGATTGTTCCACAAATAAATGCTTTTGTGAGCCTACCTCTAACCTAGGGTGACCAGACAGCAAGTGTGAAAAATCGGGACAGGCGGTGTGGGGTAATAGGAGCCTATATAAGAAAAAGACCCCAAAATTGGGATTGTCCCTATAAAATCGGGACATCTGGTTACCCTACTCTAACCAGTACACCACACCATCTTCCCAGAGCCAGGGATAGCATTCCTGATCTCCGATTTTCTACTGCCATGGCTGCTGCTGCTGGGTGTATCTATTTTCCAAACATCCACGTGAGGCTATGGCATGTTTCAGGAGACGAGTGATGAGACAGACCCCTTCACAGAGGATCCCTGCAGCTGATTGGTTATGGTGTCACAGCTAAATATGACTGGTTGTTCTTGGTGCTGTTACTTTTGATAGTTTGTCCTGCACCATTGGGCTCCTGGGACCTCAGCACTGTTAAAGCAGATGAACTTCCCAAATGCATGGAACACATGATAGTCAAATGCTACCAGGGTGCATGTGGGGAATGGGCATCAACCATGGGTCTTGCTGGGTGGTTCTTCATTTATCTGTGGTATCCACCTCTGGCAGTGAGAGTCTGGTAAATACCTTGAGCCCTATTCCTACCTGTTGGGGCTGGGCAAATCTGGGGCTGGAAATTTGGCTCCAGGATGAACCCCCCAGCAAGTCCCTGAAAATCCCCTACGTGAGTTGTCTCCACTGCAGCCACTGGGAGGAACGAACGGTCGGGAGCTAAACATGAACGTTATGCTGGCACCTGTCGGGGTGAGAAGGGGATTTGGGAGACTTCAGAAGGGACTTTCAGGGTTACAGTGACCAGCCAGCTTTCATGGAGCACCGTACATTTATTTTAGGACAAAAACATTACAGAGAACACATATCATAAAACAACCACCAGTCTGTGTGCATGCTAGCTTATCAGCTGTCAGCCGTCTTCCACAGGGAGACCCTCTTAGCTTTCCAGTCCTTCCAGCAGGGTTTTGCCCTCTTGGCTACTATCTCATAACAAGGGATTTCCATCAGTTCAGGGTGGCCTTTTATACCACAAGCTCCTTCTTTGACTCCTGGGCCTCTTGAACCTGGTCTGAGCCAGTCTATGCAATTCAGCCAAGGAGGTGGTGCTGCTCTTGGGCTGTTTACCTGCCCTGGGATCTTCAGTAATTAACCACCACTGGATTTAGTTCCTGGAGAAGCTCAGTTAAGCTTCCCCCATGGCGCAATCTTATAATCCCTACTTCCCAAAGGTACATACAACATTTACAGATACAAAATGCCAATGGCACATATCATTACAATAGTCTTTTGTGTTTCCATGCTTCCAAGGTCTTGCACCTGTCACGGAGGGTGTTAGATTAAAGCCACCTCCTCCGGTCTCCTGCTGCAGGATTAACGAAAAGCGATTCTTTCATCAGCCTCAGGATTTGAGTACCTGCATTATTAATTCAATCTGAAATCGATGATCCAAAAAACCCCAGCATTGTTAATCCAGTGATGTATTGACTCAATCTCAGTTGTAAATTTGAAACAATACCATGATCAACTCCATCTGAGTTTAGTGAAGTTATAATAGTTTTAGCCTCAGTTATGTGTTTGTTTAATCTACATATTTGCTTGATTATATTTTCTAATAAAACCCATGCAAAGTACACAGCACTCGCTTGTTTTTTTCAGATTGCAACATGGTCCAGAAACACGAAGAAGAAGGTAAATTAGCTGAGTTCTCTGAAAGCTGCATGGCCCTCTCCTGAAATTAAACCTTTAGACCTCACAAGAGATGTCAGCAGAAGGGCTGGGGAGTAAGTGATTCCTCCTCAGGAAGGAAACTGAACAGGTGTGGGGAACTTTTCCCCTGGCCCTAGAGCCCAAAAATGAAGGAAATTCTTGGGGGACCAGAACAGACCAGGAATGTTTTATTAGACATTTATTTGGGCAAAAAAGAAACCTACTGAGGTAAAAAGGTCAAAGATTCCCTGAAACTTGAAACAGACCCATGACAGCCCATCTCCCCCACCCTCTGTCCAGAGAGGAGGGGAGAATCCCTTCCCGGGAAGCTATTTCAGCATAATCCCCTGCCTGAAAACATGGACAAGGGACTCTAGCTAACTCAGGAAAACCATCCCCCAACAGAGAGAGCTGGGAAGGGACAGGAGTGTCAGAGACTAATACAATACAGTAATAATAATAATAATAATAATAATGACATTTTCCCTCTCTTGGCACCTCTGTCCTCCTGAGCCACTGAACACCCCGTGATCAGCAACCCCTCACGACTCCACACGGAGGTGGGCATCTGCTATTAACCCCATTGTAGAGATGGGAGGAACAGACCCCCAGAGAGGAAAGGAAGTGAGTGAACCATGATCGCACAAGGGGACACTAGCAGAATTGGGTATCGAACCCAGGAGCCCTGACTGCCAGGCTCTCTGCCCTTGCTCCACTCAGATTTGAGACGAGATCCTAGGAGTCCAGAGAACCGATAGCCCCTGCTCTATTACACCATCCTGCCCACACTGGGACAGCGGAATCCTTTCGGGGGAATGTATTCCTATGAGTTTTCCGGTCTCCGTCCCCTGCCTCCCTGCAGCTGCAGAGACACCAAATAAATTGAGCATCACTCTGAATCCTGTCGCTTCAGATAGGCAGCTCTTGCTATTTTATAACTAATTGTAAGCAAGCAAGACACGAGAAGTAATTCTTCCGCTCTATTCCAGTTGAGGCCTAATCAGCACGTGCTCTGGGTGCCACATTTCAGGAAAGATGTGGACAAATTGGAGCAAGTCTAGAGAAGGGCAACAAAAATGATTAAAGGTCTAGAAAACATGACCTATGAGGGAAGATTGAAAAAATTGGGTTTGTTTAGTCTGCAAAAGAGAAGACTGAGAGGGGACATGAGAACAGTTTTCAAGTACTTAAAAGGTTGTTACAAGGAGGAGGGAGAAAAATTGTTCTTCTTAACCTTTGAGGACAGGACAAGAAGAAATGGGCTTAAATTGCAGCAAGGGAGGTTTAAGTGGGACATTAGGAAAAACTTCTTAACTGTCAGGGTGGTTACACACTGGAATAAATTGCCTAGGGAGGCTGTGGAATCTCCATCATTGTCTAACCTGCTCTTAAAAAAATCTCCAAACACCTGTCAGGGATGGTCTACTTGGTTCTGCCACGAGTGCAGGGGACTGGACTAGATGACTTCTCAAGGTCCCTTCCAGTCCTATGATTCTATGAACTACAGTCCTGCAGGGCCCCTTGCTGCTCCCTTCAAAAACGTCCCCCTGCCCTCACCTTGAGGGGCCTTAGGAGCTGCAGGGACAACTCAGACAAACTACAAGGGGGATTTTTGTCTCTTCTCTACATTGGAAAGTGTGTGTGAAAGCCACAGAAATGTCTCCCCACTGATACCATCACCTGCTCCCCCCAGACCCTAAAATGCCCCATCTACCAAGTACCCAGTGTTTCCTCCTCCCCGGCCCCTAACCAACCACCCCCCACTGAAACCCAGACCAGCCACCAGCCTGCTTTCCCTACCCAGACCATCCTCAGATGAAACCTGCTTCCAGAGGGCAGAGACCCATTGCCCCACAGGGAGAGCTCCTGAAACCTTCTATGCTGTGTGCACTTTCTGATGTGACTTCAGCGAATCCTTCCCCTTGTAGCTTTTCCCACAGACAGAACATTTATAGGGTGTCTCTGCTGAATGGATTCTCTGATGTCTAAGGACTCCCCAGCTCTGACTGAAGCTTTTCCCACATTCAGAGCAGTTATAGGGCTTCTCTCCTGTGTGGATTCGTCGATGTCTAATAAGTTGGGAGCTGTTACTAAACCTTTTCCCACAGTCGGGGCATTTATAGGATCTCTCTCCGATGTGGATTCTCTGATGTACGATGAGGCTGAATCTTTGTTTGAAGCTTTTCCCACACTCGGGGCATTTATAGGGTGTCTCTCCTGTGTGGATTCTCTGGTGCGAAACCAGGTTTGAGCTCTGAGTGAAACTTTTCCCACATTCAGGGCATTTATAGGGCGTCTCTCCTGTGTGGAGTCTCCGATGTTTACTAAGGTCTGAGCTCCGCTTGAAGCTCTTCCCGCAGTCAGGGCACGTATAGGGTCTCTCCCCCGTGTGGATTCGTCTATGTGAAATAAGGGATGAGAAATTAGCAAAGCATTTTCCACACTCAAGGCAGCTATAGGGCCTGTCTCCTGTGTGGACTGAGCGATGGGAAATAATGTCCGAGTTCCGCGTGAAGCTTTCCCCGCAGTCAGGGCATTTATAGGGCCTCTCCCTCGTGTGGATTCTCTGATGTACCAGGAGGTTTGATATCTGAGCAAAGCTTTTCCCACACTCGGGGCAGTTATACAGTTTCTCTTTCATATGGACTCGTTGTTGGACCATGATTTCACTAGGATCCTCCAAACTTCTCGCTTGGCAAGTGGATTCATCCTGTCTCTTCCTTTGCTGGTTGCTCTTCTGCCTCTCTGACCTGCGCTGAGTCTCACGGCCTTCTTCTTGCTCAGGACTCAAGGAAACGTCCCCTTTGGATCTTCCTGATACTGTCCCACATGGTTCCACTTGCTCAGGACCTTCCTGCTGTGGATTCTCTTCCTGGTTCTCACCCACCATCCCATCACCTGCTGGGGAAGAGAATCCAGACATGAAATGTTTCCTCTGCCATGGAGAAAGGAACCCTCAGAAAGGGGAATGGGAAATGGGGGGAACAAACCAAAATAACTGCTGGGGAGACTGAAAAAAATCAGGAGCCAAATCCCCCGCCCTTACTTAAAAAAAAAAAAAAAAAATGTTAATGGCAAGGGAGTGACAGCCTGGCCTCAGGGTGGAAGGGAAGCCATAAGCAATACCTGCCATGAAGATACGATACCTGCTGAGGACTTGGGTGAGATGAGGCAGAATACTGGGGCGTGCACAGGGCCGGCGCAACCCATTAGGCGACCTAGGTGGTCACCTAGGGCACTACAATTTGGGGGGCGGCGACCACGGCGGTATTTCGGTGGCGGGACTGCCTCTGTAGGGGGCAGCATTTCGGGGTGGGACCTTCCGCCGCCTAGGGCGGCGGAAAGGCTGGCGGCGCTCCTGGGCGTGCATGAAGCCTTTATGGGAATCCCAGCCACTAACTCCAGTGACCGATAATTTCTGCATCCATTTCACCAACTCCTTACCTGTGTTCATGTTTTAAGGATCTTCCTTTCCTCAAAGCCCTGGAGATTTGGGATTCACGGCTCTGCCTCTGGTTCTAGCCAGGAAATCACATTACGTTTGGGAAACTGGAACTGCTCCACAGAAAGAAAAACAGGTGAGACTAGTTAGTCGGAGACAGCATCATTTGCAGATGTCTTGAGTGGGTGGGGAAAATATTCCTGGAGATCCTTTGGCGGGGTCAGATGGTTCCTGAGAGATGGGCGGGTCCCACAGGGAGCTCCACACACTGGGGGATGTTCTGACTCTGGCACGGAAGTTGTGCCACCTCTTACCCCTTTCTGAACCTGCCATGACCAGAGCCCTATCCCAGCATGGACCCAATCCTGGGAAGGGAGGGACATGCAAAATCTGTGCACCTTGGTTTAAAAACACAGTGAGGTACGTACACCCCATCTGCCCCATTCCCTCCTACTTTAATATTGCTCTTAAACCAGAAAGTTTGGTCTCCGGAAAAAGTTTCCAAAAGAAGCCCGTGTAGAATGCAAGGAGCACAGGACACACGGTCTTGAAAACTGCTTAGGGCAGGGCTCGAACACACAGTTCATGGGTCAGGGTCCATAACCACAGTATACCCCCTGTCACTACCTGGAAAGCCTCTGGCTTCAACTGTGCACAGGTCTTGCTGCACATGTGAATTTCACAGTGCTAAGTGCATCGCTTTGGCACATGCTGACCTGACGTTCCAGACTGTAATGTTAATAACTTTTTCAATGTGGCTTCCCCAAAAGGGCACTGGGTTGCCATGCTTGAGTTGAGATAAACCCCAGGTGACTGAGATCAATTTGAGGAGGGGTTAGTGTCCTAGGTGTGCAAAAAAACATGGTAGGTGAATGAGACTTGGGGTTTTTTTTTTAAGTAAAATATTGCTTTTTCGGGGGGGCTACTCAGGAAATCCTTGCTCAAATGATCCCAGATTTGAACACTATCACTACCCCAGTACCCATATGAGGCTCAGAAAATTTCAAGACAATCTGAAGATTGGTTGCATTGCTCTCAGAATACAGTAGAGCCTCAGAGTTATGAACACCAGAGTTACGAATAGACCGGTCAACCACACACCTCATTTGGAACTGGAAGTATGCACAATAAATATGGCAGGCGACCAGCTTGGCTAAACAGTGAAATCCTTGCTGATCTTAAACGCAAAAAAGAAGCTTACAAGAAGTGGAAGATTGGACAAATGACCAGGGAGGAGTATAAAAATATTGCTCAGGCATGCAGGAGTGAAATCAGGAAGGCCAAATCACACTTGGAGTTGCAGCTAGCAAGGGATGTTAAGAGTAACAAGAAGGGTTTCTTCAGGTATGTTAGCAACAAGAAGAAAGTCAAAGAAAGTGTGGGCCCCTTACTGAATGAGGGAGGCAACCTAGTGACCGAGGATGTGGAAAAAGCTAATGTACTCAATGATTTTTTTGCCTCTGTCTTCACGAACAAGGTCAGCTCCCAGACTGCTGCACTGGGCAGCACAGTATGGGGAGAAGGTGACCAGCCCTCTGTGGAGAAAGAAGTGGTTCGGGACTATTTAGAAAAACTGGACGTGCACGGGGCCGGATGCGCTGCATCCGAGGGTGCTAAAGGAGTTGGCGGATGAGATTTCAAAAATAAAGGCTAATGGCTCTGCAAACTCGTGGCGATCAGGGGAGGTCCCAGATGACTGGAAAAAGGCTAATGTAGTGCCCATCTTTAAAAAAGGGAAGAAGGAGGATCCGGGGAATTACAGACCAGTCAGCCTCACCTCAGTCCCTGGAAAAATCATGGAGCAGGTCCTCAAGGAATCAATTCTGAAACACTTAGAGGAGAGGAAAGTGATCAGGAACAGTCAGCATGGATTCACTAAGGGGAAGTCGTGCCTGACTAACCTAATTGCCTTCTATGATGAGATAACTGGCTCTGTGGATGAGGGGAAAGCAGTGGATGTGTCAAGGAATACCTTGACTTTAGCAAAGCTTTTGATACGGTCTCCCACAGTATTCTTGCCGCCAAGTTAAAGAAGTATGGGCTGGATGAATGGACTGTAAGGTGGATAGAAAGCTGGCTAGATCGTCGGGCTCAACGGGTAGTGATCAATGGCTCCATGTCTAGTTGGCAGCTGGTTTCAAGCGGAGTGCCCCAAGGGTCGGTCCTGGGGCCGGTTTTGTTTAATATTTTTATTAATGATCTGGAGGATGGTGTGGACTGCACTCTCAGCAAGTTTGCAGATGACACTAAACTGGGAGGCGTGGTAGATACACTAGAGGGTAGGGATCGGATACAGAGGGACCTAGACAAATTAGAAAATTGGGCCAAAAAAAACCAGATGAGGTTCAACAAGGACAAGTGCAGAGTCCTGCACTTAGGACAGAAGAATCCCATGCACTGCTACAGACTAGGGACCGAATGGCTAGGTAGCAGTTCTGCAGAAAAGGACCTAGGGGTCACAGTGGACGAGAAGCTGGATATGAGTCAACAGTGTGCTCTTGTTGCCAAGAAGGCTAACGGCATTTTGGGCTGTATAAGTAGGGGCATTGCCAGCAGATCGAGGAACGTGATCGTTCCCCTTTATTCGACATTGGTGAGGCCTCATCTGGAGTACTGTGTCCAGTTTTGGGCCCCACACTACAAGAAGGATGTGGAAAAATTGGAAAGAGTCCAGCGGAGGGCAACAAAAATGATTAGGGGTCTGGAGCACATGACTTATGAGGAGAGGCTGAGGGAACTGGGATTGTTTAGTCTCCAGAAGAGAAGAATGAGGGGGGATTTGATAGCTGCTTTCAACTACCTGAAGGGGGGTTCCAAAGAGGATGGAGCTTGGCTGTTCTCAGTGGTGGCAGACGACAGAACAAGGAGCAATGGTCTCAAGTTGCAGTGGGGGAGGTCTAGGTTGGATATTAGGAAACACTATTTCACTAGGAGGGTGGTGAAGCACTGGAATGCGTTACCTAGGGAGGTGGTGGAGTCTCCTTCCTTGGAGGTTTTTAAGGCCCGGCTTGACAAAGCCCTGGCTGGGATGATTTAGTTGGGGATTGGTCCTGCTTTGAGCAGGGGGTTGGACTAGATGACCTCCTGAGGTCCCTTCCAACCCTGATATTTTATGATTCTATGACAATCAGACAGCAGCAGAGACAAAAAAGTAAATACAATTCGGTGCTGTGTTAAATGTAAATTACTAAAAAAATAAAATAAAGGGAAAGCAGCATTTTTCTTCTGCATAGTAAAGTTTCAAAGCTGTATTAAAGTCAATGTTCAGTTGTAAACTTTTGAAAGAACAACCACAATGTTTTGTTCAGAGTTACGAACAACCTCCGTTCCCGAGGTGTTCATAACTGTGAGGTTCTACTGTAGCCCACTGTTAAACAGAAAATGACGCTCATCCTTAACTACAGCAGAGTTGTCGGTCTTCTATATTTCGGGTTAGTCGCTTTCAATTTTCATTTTGTTACAATACCGATGGATAACATTAAAATAAACATCAAAGCATATTTTCAGATTTTTATCTATTTACATTTTCACAGTGGTATGAAATTGGGGGGTGGTCAGGCAATTATTTAAAGACCGCAGATGTTCAGATTCCAAAATGTAAAGCTTTCAAAAGCCCTAAATTGTCAGCATCACACGTCAGAACAGACATAGTAAATATCCTTCAATCAACAAATCAAGCCTTGTTTTACTGTACATTCGCTAGTCCATTTGTAACAAGCCTAATTCAAAAGGCTACACCACTGGATTTTTCACTCTAAGAAGTTTTCAAACCATATTTTTCTTACTTTGGCTATTTGTAAATGTTGAGTATTATTGAGGGAAATATTTTTTCATTGGTTTGTGTCTGTGAAATAGATGTTTACTAACAATTATCAATAAATATGCAAGCCTTCCACCCCTAGCTATGTTGCTGTATAAAAGGAGAAAGAGATGGCCCGGTTGTGGGATAGGGGCTAGAAGCCATGTAACCCCTCCCTATCTCACCACCCCCTCTCCACTCCAGCCACTTCCCTGTGTCCACCCTCATACAAAAGTCTCTGTCAGGATGTCCACAAAGCAAAAGACCCCATCAGCAGCCAGTTTCAGAGCCTATGTCAACTGACTCCGGTTTGCACTATGGGGCTAAATATAGCAGTGTAGACATTCCAACTCAGGCTGGAGCCCATGCTCTGAAACCTGGTGAGAGGGGAGGGTCTCAGCCAGAGCCTGAATGTCTACACTATGGTTAGCCCTGGAGTGTGAGCCCAACTAGGTTGACCCAGGCTCTCAGACTCACTGCTGTAGGGATTTTTTGTGTGTGTGTAGACACCCCCTGTGAGTCCAGTCTGTCTCTTCCTACCGCACTGGCATCCCCCACTCATTCCACACTCAGAACAGCCCCCAGAGCCCTTGCAGACAGTCCATGTACTTTTCTTTTTCTATGTCTGAGCTTGTCCAGCTACAGTTATCACTTTCACCAAATGCTAGGCCTGGTCTACACTACGGGATTAATTCGGATTTAGCAGCGTTAATTCAAATTAACCCTTCACCCGTCCACACAACAGAGCCATTTAGTTCGAATTAAAGGGCACTTTAAATCGATTTCTGTACTCCACCTCGATGAGCGGAGTAGAGCCAAAATCGATTTTGTTAATTCGAATTAGGGTTAGTGTGGCCGCCACCACCGAATTAATGTGGTTAAAATTAATGGGGTAGTGTGGCCGCACACCACCGAATTAATGTGGTTAAAAACCGAATTAATGTGCTTAGTGTGGCCGCGCACAATCGAATTTATACAACCTGTTTCCCAAATTCGAATTATCTAAATTCGGATTAATCCCGTAGTGTAGACATACCCCTAGAAAGGAACCGAACCAAAGGAGCCGCTCTGGGAGATCCCCCCTGACACTATCCCCAGGGCAGCGCATCCCCCCAGCAGCGCGGGGACCAGGCAGAGTCAGGAACTGGCTTTTCCTCTCCCTGCTCCTCCCCTACTCCCCAGGAAAATTAATCTGCCCGGGGGTGCTGCAGGGAATGGGGCTGGGAACCTCCTTCTCCACCTATTGCTCCTGCTGCCGCTGCCAGTCTCTGCCCCGTCTCCCTCCTGCCCCCTCTCCCCTCCCCTCGGGCTGGGAGACTCAGGGGAGCAGGGGGGGGCAGGGAGGGCGGCAGCTCTGGGACTCGCAGACCCCCGCGAGCGGAGCTGGGGCGAGGAGGGGCCGTTGGTGCAGAGTCACTTTCCTGCCCGGCCCCAGCCCTTTCCCCCGGGTCTCTCCACTCACCTGCAGGCTCCGGCTCAGCGGCTGGTGTTGGCAGAGCCCGGGGCTGCCCCAGGGGCTGGTTGCAGCCACCGCAGAAAGTCCCCCCGGCTGGGCACAGAGGCGGGTCAGTGCAGGTCTCTCCCCGCACAGACCCCGCTGGGGAGCAGCAGCGGCTCAGCCCCGGCTCACAATGGAGGCAGCAGCAGCTTCTTCTAGCAGCTGCGATCACTGACCAGTCAGGAGCCGCGCACAGCTGCTGTCACTGGGATTGTGGCAGCATCTGGGAGCCCTAAACTCTCGCCTCTGCCAGCACCGGATGCAACCGCGCTCAGCTGAGCCAGCCGTTTCCTGTGCCCCTGGATACCAACTCGGGCTGCAGCAGCCCTCCTTTGGGACCAGCTGTAACCAAAGCCTAGACTAGAGCATCTATTTGCAGGGAAAGAGGGGGCGGGGGAAAGTGAGGGTGTGAAATGTACTAAAGCCTCTTCAGGAACCTCCCCCATCCGCCTTCAGGCCTGGCAGGCTGCAAATTAACATCAATGTTTCA